ACTTTTTCCATTTCATAATGTGTGTCGTCATTTGTTTACATTTGGATACGCCATGAGCAGATATTAATGTACGTGAGAGAATCATGGAAGATTGTAGTTTTAAGACAGTAAAATCGACATTGCTAACCGAACGCCCCTCTGTGGCCGAAAGGGTTAAGGCACGTCAGGCTATATGACGGTTCATATATATATATATAGGAATTGGTAGGATAAAATATATATATATATAGGAATTGGTAGGATAAAAAATGTACATACACCCAGAACTACTTGCATGTATGTAAGTATATTTATTCTTCAGGTGTTATAAATACGGTGGTCAATGTTATGAAACAGAGCTATAAACAAATACGTATATATATATGTGTGTGTATGTATGCGTGAGTAAAGGCAAAAGCAAAACTAATCTTGACCGACGCGTTTCGTCCTCTGACACGTTCGTCGGCTAATATAATTTTTTTATTTCAGGGAAAATGTAAGAATTTGATTTTTTTTTAAATTCAACATCATTTACTCTCTTTAGAGGATAAGACATTGAATTACGTCACTTACCATCTTCCATAATTTTCTGAGCCTCTCTTAAATTTAAAAATTTCGACAACTGACAACCTCTATTTTAGTTTTGCAAAATAAAATCGTATTTGTCTTGATAAAGTCCATCACAGGACAAAACACGTCGGCTAAGTTCTTTTTTTTTGTCATTATTCATATAACACATTTACAGATATATATTTTAGTTATATTTGAATTTGTACACCTCCATAAACACACACACACACACACACACATATATATATATATATATATATATATATTAATGAAAAAATGTTGCCTAAATACACACACATATATATATATATATATATATATATATATATATATATATATATAATTATTTATTTAAAAATATGATTCCAACGCTACATAAGAGTTCAAATGTTTCATAACAAGAGCCTAAAACTTCATTATAATTATTTGAATTGAATTAAAGTACCAAGCTCTGTTCCATCTTCAAGAGAATTTTTTTTTTTTTTTTGAATAACTAATTCCTGAAATTTACGCGTTTTATAAGCATATTCATTATTGAAATTAAAATTACTATGGTAACGGCTAGAGCAATTGTTTAAAGAAAAGGGGCGTAAGGGTTAATAATTTGTATCAATATTCAAAGACGTCAAGTCAGAGTAAGGTTTGGGTGTCTAAATTTAAAAGCGGAAAATGACATCGTCTAGTCTGGTTAAGTGTATATGGAGATTTATTTATTTTTTTATTTTATTTTTATTTTTTTTATGTTCTACTTTTGTATCGAGCACTATTTTTAAAAAAATAATAACAAAATACTAAAGAACTTTCGATTATTTACCTAACGAGTTCTTTTCCTATTTTCTATATATTTTACACACACACACACACACACACACATATATATATATATATATATATATATATATATATATATATATATATATATATATATATATATATATATTTTTCATTGTTAAAGTCTGAAACACCTGGAACAGCTTTGTCAAGATCTGAAGCAGAGACGCCATCAAAATCCCTTCAACAAATTACAGATGTTTTTTGTCGTCCTCAGCAAGGGCTAATATCACACTTAAGAAATCACAAATGAAATATGGCTTTCCCTAAACAGATTTTCTCCACAATTGCCCCTGCTAGCATGCATAGGTGTAAAACGAAAGGCAGCTTCCACTGTGGGCCCTCATTTCACGATAGGAGAGTCCATTACTTTATATATATATATATATATATATATATATATATATATATATAGGCAGCATATCTTCATTCAATCAGTAACTGATATTGTCATGTCACATTTACATTTACATTTATTTTGTCTTCACAATTTACCCCTGAAGATGCTCTCGAGGGAGATGGAAAGTACTTGGGTTAATGAAAAATATGGCGCCTTCTTTGATAAATTTCAACTTGACATCAAGAAGATAAGTAGAGAACGAGTGAGACATATTAGGCCTATATTATTTAATGAAACATATATACGTGAGTGTCTGTGTGTGTCTATCTTTCACACGCACACACAGAGGAAGATAATATTCAATAAGCACTCTAAAACAGTCTATTTGCCTTTATATGTAAGTATTAGTTATCCTTTAGTATCGGGAGACTCTAGTATCAACTACCTAATGCAGGGATCTTCAAACAGGGTTTTCATGGACGCTAGGAGTCCATGTAATCTTTCTGGGGGCCCACAGGCAAAATATAACAAATTGGTAGCCCACAATGATATTTTGGTGGTCAATGAAGAAAGCCAATGATATTGCTACAAGGACCCTTTACTCTGCGATAAAGCACGTTATTGCTTTTCCAACATCTTGTTGAATCGTGATTTAGTCGTGTTTCTCAACTGTTATCAAAAGTAGACTTGACATCGTGAAAAGAGGTGATCTTCGACTATCATTAACATCGATTGAATCAGATATAAAGAAACTCGCTGAGCAGAATCAACTACAGTGATCTCATTGAATAAATATACCTTTTTTTTTCTAATCGCACACTTGAATTCGTTTATTAGAATTTTTAACCAGTGTGCATAAATAAATGCTACAGTGAATTCAATCGCTCTGCTCCCCATTGGCTTGACTATGGACAAATCATTGTTATATGATAATGCAAGATATTAGTCAATAAAAATTATTATTATTATTATTATTATTATTATTATTATTATTATTATACAGTAATTTATTTGCATTAAATTAGTTTTCATTTAAAAATCAAGCTTAATTATATAATGTTTCTTTATTAAAACCTCAAAATTTTCATTAGTGAAAAATAGAATATTGTTATCTTATGTCAAATAGCTATTATGGGTTCTACCAAAAAAAAAAGAAGGGAAAAGTGGTCCATGGATAAAAAGGAAGGGAAAAGTGGTCCATGGGTAAAATGGAAGGGAAAACTGGTCCATGTGTAAAAAGGAAGGGAAAAGTGGTCCATGGGTAAAAAGGAAGGGAAAAGTGGTCCATGGGTAAAAAGGAAGGGAAAAGTGGTCCATGGGTAAAATGGAAGGGAAAAGTGGTCCATGGGTAAAAAAAAGGTTGAGAAGCACTGATCTACAGGAATAGCTCGTTCTTGTTCTACTCATCATGTCTAGGGATATCTCAGCTAAATCACCAAGAAAAAAAGAAAGTGAAAGAAGTCAATGGGTAAAAAAAGAAAGGAAAAGGGGTCCATGGGTAAAAATAAGGGAAAAAAGGTCCATGGGTAAAAAAGAAGGGAAAAGGGTTCTTTGGGTAAAAAAATGAAAGGAAAAATGGATTGATTGGTAAAAAAGAAGGGAGAGGTCCATGGGTAAAAAAGAAGGGAAAAGGGGTCCATGGGTAAAAAGAATGGAAATGAGGTCCATTGGTAAAAAAGAAGATAAAAGGCGTCCATGGGTAAAAAAAGAAAGGAAAAGCGTTCCATGAGTAAAAAAGAAAAGAGGTCCATTGGTAAAAAAAGAAGGGTAAAAGGGTCCATGGGTAAAAAAGAATGGAAATGAGGCCCATTGGTAAAAAAGAAAGGAAAGGGGTCTATGGGTAAAAAAAAGAATGGAAAAGAGGTTCCTTGGTAACAAAAGAATGGAAATGGGGTACATGGGTAAAAAAGAAGATAACAGTCCATCGGTAAAAAAGAAGAAACAAGGTATCTATGGTTAAAAAAGAAGGGAAAAGTTATCCATGGTTAAAAAAAGAAAGAAAAAGAGCTCCATGGGTTAAAAAGAAAGGAGGTCCATGGGTAAAAAAAAAGGAAAAGAGGTCCATGGGTAAAAAATAAGGGAAAAGATGTCTATAGGTAAAAAAAATGAAAGGAAAAAGGGGTCGATGGTTAAAAAAAGATGGGAAAGTGGTTCATGATTAAAAAAGAAGATAACAGGAGTCCATGGGTTAAAAATCAGGGGAAAGAGATCCATGGGTAAAAAAGAAGGGAAAAGGGATCCTTGGTTAAAAAAAAGAAAGGCAAAGAGGTCCATTGATAAAAAAGAAGGGACAAGGGGTCTATGGGTAAAAAATAAGGGAAAAGAGGTGTATGGGTGAAAAAGAAGGGAAAAGGGGTCAATGTGTACAAAAAGAAAGGGAAAAGGTCCATGGGTAAGAGAGAAGGGAAAAGTGGTCCAAGCGTAAAAAAGAAGGGAAAAGGGGTCCATGTGCGCAAAAAGAAAGGAAAAATGTCCATGGGTAAAATGAAGAGAAAAGCGGTCTATGCGTAATAAATGAAAAAAATTTTAATTGCTAAAAATGAAGGGACAAGAAGTCCATGGGTAAAAAAGAAGGGAAAAGGGTCCAAGGGTAAAAAGCAGAGAAAAGAGATAAAAAAAAGAAATGGAAATGATGTCCATGGGTAAAAATGAAGATAAAAGAGGTCCATGGGCAAAAATTAATGGTCAAGGGGCCCATGTGTAAAAAAAAGAAAGGAAAAGGTGTCCATGGGTAAAAAAAGAAAAGAAAAGCGTTCCATGGGTAAAAAAGTTGGAAAAAGTGTCTCTGGGTATAAAAATGAAAGGAAAAGGGATTTATGGGTAAAAAAGAGTTCCATGGGTAAAAAAAGAATGGAAATGGGCTCCATGAGTAAGAAAGAAGATAAAAGGGGTCCATGTGTAAAAAAAGAATGTCAAAGGGTTCCTTGGTTAAAAAAGAAAGGAAAAGTGGTCCATGGGTAAAAAAGAAGAGACAAGGGGGTCCATGGGTAAAAAAGAAGGGACAAGGGGGTCCATGGATAGAAATAATGTAAGAATGGTCCATGGGTAAAAAAGAAGGAAAAAAAAGGGTTCTATGGGTAAAAAAAAAGGAAAGGAAAAAGGGATTGATTGGTAAAAAGAAGGGAGAGGTCCATGGGTAAAAAAGAAGGGAAAAGGAGTCCATGGGTAAAAAAAGAAGGGACAAGGGGTTCTTGGTTAAAAAAAGAAAGGAAAATTGGTCCATGGGTAAAAAGAAGGGTAAAGGGGGTTCATGGGTAAAAAGAAGGTCAAAGTGGTCCATGGGTTAAAAAGAAGAGAAAAGGGGTCCATGGATAAAAAAAAAATAATGGAAAAGCGCTCCACGGGTAAGAAAAAGAAAGGAAAAGGGTCCACCACGAAAAAAAGAAAGGAAACTGGTCCCATGGATAAAAAGGTTAAGAACCATTGATCTAATGGTTAATAGTAAGCGTTTCCCATAAGGAGACATCAGACATTCATTAGCTGAATAGCCAGTGCTACTCGAGTTATGCTTTTCTTCATTCCCTGACCATCGGTTTGGGTTCACATTGCATCAACTGTTCTCTTCATTGTTAATGTCAATGGCAATGATACTATTAGCCGTTTGATTATATGGCAAAAGTCGGCGTTCATTGCCCGAGCAGCCACTTCTACTTGGGTTACACTATACTTCATTGCTCGGGTAGGGATTAAAGTGTAGTAATTGTTCTCGGGCGGGCGAACTAGATTTTATCTCTCGGTTGTGTTTCTCTCATCGGACAGAGCGCTTCTCAGTTGATTCTTTGTCCTCAGGCAGAGCGTATCGGAAAATATTATTGGAACAGCTACCCAATCTCGGAGAACAGCTGCCCGATCTCGGGGAACAGCTACCCGATCTCGGGGAACAGCTACCCGGTCTCGGAGAACAGCTGCCCAATCTCGGGGAACAGTACTACCTTGATAGTAGGTAAAAATATAACCGAAAGCGCTGGGAATTAAAGAAGATTTGCATCTTTTCTACACACTGTACAAAAAGAAAACTCTTGTTCGAACAAATTCTAAAAAAGCTTAATCGTAGAACATTGTCTGTCGTCTTTAACGAAACATGTATAAATAAATGATTACTGCCTAAATACACTATATATATATACATATATATATATATATATAATTTTAAGACATTTTATGTTTATACATTCTTTTTATAGATACAAATATTTAAGTAAATACTCTGTTTATAATAAATAGTATTAAACAACATTTACCGGCCTGAATGTCCGAGAAATTTTCACAGAATGATATTTGTCCTCAGACAATATTCGAACCTGTATCCTGTACGGAACCGTCATTTAGCCTGACATTGCCTTTACCGATTTGGCTACAGTGGACCGTTCGGTTAGCAAGGTCAAATTTACTGTCTATAAACTTCAATCTTCCATGAATCTCTCACGTACATTCATGTCTGCTCATGGCGTATCAAATGTAAACAAATGACGTCACACATTATATGTTTATACATTCTTTTTTATAGATACAAATATTTAAGTAAATGCTTGTTTATATATATATATATATATATATATATATATATATATATATATATATATATATATATATATATATTGTGTCTACCAGTAATAGACATAAATTTAAAATCTAATAACATTGACAATTCTCTCTCAAATTTTAGCAAATTGTTTAAAAGCTAAGTTGACTGTACGAACTACTGTCAATAGGAATCTACCAGGAAGATAGATCGGGCCTACCAGTGATAATGACACTGTACTTTTGAAGTGGTCCCCACGTTCATCTGAATTATCTCCTGCGATCTTTCCTATGGGGCAATGTGAAAGGACAGGTCTATATCCCCCTTCTACACGCCTAGAGGAACTTAAGCAGGTACACAGGCGCTGGAGAATTACTGCTCTGTGGAATTATTCCCAAGATTATGTTTCCCCCATCACTACAATCTTAACCTGTTTAAATCTAAGATTAACCCTGTCTTCCACTTTTAAACTGTATCTTAAAGTAACCCACCGGGCCTTGTGCAGAGTGAAACTTACTGTAAAAAAATTACAAAAGTTTACATTTGACATTCCCAGCAAATATATTTCACTGCCTCATTTACCAACCATCAGCATCCTGTCTACTTATATATTTTCTAATTACTTTCTACAACTAAACTGCATACGATTTTAAAATGATGACTTAAATATATATTCTGGACCCATTTAAAAGTTGAGTAAGCTAATACCGCTGGTATTCAATTAATCTGCTATTACTGAGAAAATATGCTAGGTTAAAAAAAAAATTCTAGGTTATTCTTGAAAGCTCTAAGTATCAATTAACATTCTTGGGGTGATGTTTCAATATATCAGTAAATCGACAGCCTTCGATGTAGTAGCAACATTAATGGCGTAAACTAACTTGCATTTTAAAGATATGAAGACGACCGTGGTATTTATTTATCGTAAAAGCAAAAACTAGAGTCATTTAATATTATCGCCACATTTTAGCTTGATATTTCGATGGGGAGAGTGACAGTTATTTTTTTTAATAGAATTCAAATCCTATAAGACTCGAGAACCACTCAAATTAATTTTTTTTTGTTTTTGTTTTTGTGGCATCTAGCAATTTCAACCTTAAAATGATGAGACCTTCAGCCAACCCAAAGAAAAAACACAGAGAAAAACCTTTACAGGAATAGAATTCAAATTATATAAGATTCGAGAACCACTCAAATTAAAATGTTACTTTTTTTTTCTTTTTTTTTAAATTTCACCCCAAGGAAGATAACAATGCCACTATCAGGCGGTAAGGGTTACTGAGTGTGAAAGAATACAAGAAAAACATAATTAAGGAGCGAGAACAATAAAAGAACAGAAATTAAGAAGACAGAAGATAACGATTAACTTTTCATTTAAATTCTTTACGATCAATTTGACTGGAAGACAAAAAGCTGGAAGAGAGTTCCATAACAAAGAAGTTTGAAAAAATTAACTGGTTAGCATAGAACTTACGGTGACATCTAGCAATTTCAACAGTAAGATGATGAAATCTTGAAGCCAACCCAATACTGCGCTTAAATTCATAATAGTTCTGTGCCAGAGATGAAAGTTAATCAGAACAATTAACATGAAAATATTTATAGAAAAAAATTACAGAGAAAAAAAAAAATCTTTACAGGAATAGAAAATGTGACTGAAGCCGAGATGCCTGATCAAAACCAATAAAACTGCTGATTCTTTAAGATTTTATCAAGTATCTCTAAATATACAGCAGGATTACCAGACGATATGTGACAGTAATATTCTAAGCATGGGCGAATGGTAGACTTAAATATCCTCTTCTTCTCAACGCACTGCCAGCTATGCATAAATAGCAGGACAGATGGGATTTTTTAGCCTTGGGTGGCAACCTCTCTAGGAGAAAGTAACTGCGAGTTTAAAACTGTATGTAGACCTGGCGTAGCACATACTATCAAAACTAAAGAAAGGATCGTTCGACTTGGCTCACTAATCCCAAATACGGTCTAATGATGTTTTGTAATCTCAATGTATACTCGGTGTCATTTTCGTAATGCTCTGTGTAGTAGAGACTTTGTATCGCAGATACAACAATAGTAACGCCGTTGGACAATACTGATTTCAAACGCCTTCGAATATCACTGACACTAATAGTACTTGCTCGATAACACTCGCTCGAATAGTAATCACCGTATAGTGATCTGAATAGAGAAATAGTATAGTGAATAGAGTAGAGAATAGCGCTCCGTATAGTAATAAAGAGGATAAAGTAGCAACAGTGAGCCAAATAGTAATAGAGAATAGAGTAAAAATAGCGATCTGTATAGTTATAGAGGATAGAATAGAAATGGCGATCAATTAGACGTCAAGCTAATTCCTACTTTTGCATTTCCTCTATGGTCATGTGATCCACTTACTTCAATAATGGGATCGATTGTGTTTGTTCTCTGGCGATCTATGTTCGAACTCAAGTGTCAAAAGTGACACTTTATCCTATGTAACATGATGATGAAATTGTTACAATTTTTGGAAACATTATCTATTACTGAGCTAGCCCAAATGACTTGACTCACTTTATAGTCCAACAATAGAAGGTTAACCAATCAGAAGACGTAGAATATTCAATCCGTCGTGTATAAAGGCGGCCATTTTGTTTACTCTATCCGAATGTCCAGTTCCAGCTTGTCAGGCGAAGAGGAACAGAAGGAAGAACTATGCTCTGCTACTTTACCAAAATATCCACAGCTAACCTGAACAACGCTTCCCTACTGTCTTCGAAATATTCACTGCTAACTTCTGGATTCTATACTCAAAGACGACCGTCATCATGAACAACAGAAATATGCAGGAAAAATTCGAACAAGAAAAATTGTTTAGCACGACAGAGCGAACTAAATTTCATAGAACTGGAACTAGCAATCGATTCGATATGATATGTCCACTTCATGTCAATGAAAAATGTTAGTCGTGGATGGCGTAATGAGTCATTCTCCTGGAGGTAAGCATCAGCCATGCTGGTAGAAGACAGAAAGAGTTCTCTCCGGTGATTGATAGAGAGCAGTTTCGTTTTGGAAGCGCTAACATTAACAAGCCATTCTTTGCCCCAGTTAACAACAGAATGTAGATTATTGTTTAGATAAAGCTGCCAATTTGACTTTATGGAACAAATCGTACTTAAGCGTCATCAACATAGATACCGAGTTGAGAGTTGTGCTCTAATATTAATGATAAAAGAAATGCTTTGATATGAATGAAAGATAAGGTGGTAGGAATTGATGATAAGGTGGCTAGATAAGGATTGGCTTCGTTAAAGAGTTTCAGGAAGTCTATTCAAATAAACAGAAGAGGCCTCAGAGACACTCACTGCAGAGGCTTACTCTTACAATGTTAATTATAACTGATGGGTGCGATATTAATGAAAGATCAGGTAATATTAGCCGATTAGATTTAAGGAAACATTCAATATTCATGGAGAGAGCAGCCAGTGCTACTCTAATTACATTTTTCTTCGCTCCCTGGCCATCGGGATGAGATCAAGGTGAAGTATCTGTTTTCCCCCCATCTACAATTATAATGATAATATTAGCTGTTTCCACTGAAGGAAACATTCAATATTCATGAGGAGATCAGCCAGTGCTATTCTAATAACGCTTTTATTCGCTCCCTGGACATCGGAGTCAGATCACTGTGTAGTATCTGTTCTTGCCCATCTAAATTATATTGGTAATATTAGCCGTTTCAATTGAAGAAAAACATTCAATATTCATTGTGTGAGCAG